TAATTAAAGCATCGTGATTAATCACAAAAACAGTATGTAATTATATATGTGTTTTCTGATGGTCCCAGGTGACCCCTGTGAAAGGGTCGTTCGACCCCCAAAGGGGTCACGACCCACAGGTTGAGAACCGCTGCCCTAAATGAAGGCCCTCTGCCTGCCCCAGGATGCTGCAGTCCGGCTGCCCTGTCCTGTAATGACGGGCTGTGTTTTCGGGGTGTCCGTATCCTGAGGGTTGGGATGTACGTTTCCTAGCTCTGTGCCAGATGATGAAGGTCCTGATGGTGTGACTGCACCATTTTGGAAAAACCAGCTGGAGGTCAGCCAGGCCTGGCTCAGCAGATAAGGGTGTCCTTGGCCCTTCATCGGGCAGCTTTTACCTAGAGCTTTTGCAGCAGGGGGCCCTGAAGAACCCTTCACTCACCTTCTAGAAGATTCTCCGAAGCATGGGCTAACTGGCACTGTTACCCCCACAGGCCCCTTGGGCTCTGCCACATCTGGAGTGAAGCCGTTCTCCCTTCCTCCTGCCCCTGGCCCTCCAGATATTATTGCCCAGATTCTGCCCAGGAGCCTCCCTTGCTTTGCGGGGGCTGATGCACATAATGGGGAGGGGATTGCAGCCGAGAGGCCTCCTTCCCTCCGTAGCCCCTGGAAAATTCCTTGAGACAGACCTTTTGCAAGGGCATCCCAGCACAAGGAAGACTCCACAGGCTACAGGTACACGGAACACAGCCCACTGGCCTGCCGGCTCCCGGGGGGTGAGGCCAGGTCTTACTTGGCCCACGGGAGATGCTCAGGAGAGTTCAGTGAGTGAATGTCAGAGACCAGCTGCCTGTTCATCATGCAGAACCTGGCACGGGGTCCACTCCCTGCTCAGCATCCGTCACTGGCTCCCCACTGGCTCTCAAAATCCATGTCCAGTCCCACTCCTCGATTTGGCAGTGTCTCAGCACCCCTTCCTCCACGCCTGGAGCCCATCCTAAGTCTTCCGTAATCCCTCTAGTTCTTCAGGTGGCTCTTCTTATAAAGGCTCCACCCTCATTACCTCGCCTAAACCTAAGGAACTCCCAAAGGTTCTACCTCCAAATTACTATCACATGTGGGGATAGGACTTCAACATATGGATCTGGAGGGGACAGATGGTTTGGTGGAACAGAAGGAAGCACAGAGATCTCCCCTTTCTTTTGTGGGAAACAACACAGGTAGGAAACTGGCACCTCCAGGCTGGCCTCGGGGTCAGTGGCAGAGTCAGGACTAGAACCCGGGTTACCTAATGTAGGATCTCTTGCCCTGAGTGAGTAAGTGAGATGCTCTCTAAAAGTATGGCTCAGCCCTAGCCTAGCTCGTTTGGCTCAGTGGATAGAGCGTCGGCCTGCAGACTGAAGGGTCCAGGTTTGATTCCAGCCAAGGGCACATACCTCGGTTGCAGGCTCAATCCCCGGACCCCAGGGGCGGGGGGCCAGTGCAGGAGGCAACCAAATTGATGTGTCTCTCTCACATCGATGTTTCTCTCTGTCTCTCCCCCTCCCTTCCATTCTCTCTAAAAATCAGTGGGAAAATATCATCTGGCTCGCTCACTCCATCAGTCTCTAGGTGAGGACACACACACACACACACACACACACACACACACACACAGTGTGGCTCAGTTCAGCAGCTTCTTGGTTTGTCTGAGCCAGCGCCTCTATGCAGTTAGTGAACACTTGGCTGCTCCTAGTCTCATTATGAGAAAAGCCGGGAAACAGTGTCATTCTGTCTCTAGGCCTTGGTTACCCTCCGTGGCTTTCTCCCCCTGGGTTTGCGGTGGTTTTAATAACCTCCTACGCGGAGCCCCAGACACAGGATCGCTGTCTGTCATCGCCGCAGAGGTGCGAGTCCACGGAGCACATTACCCTATGATTGCCGTCCCACCGACATCCGTGACTCACCAGATGTGGAATCCAGATGTGGGGAGCACAGGCTGTGTCAGCACACAGGGCTGCCAGAGGGGCCCCGAAAACCTGCACTATGTCCTGAAATGTCTAGTCACCCTGACCCCAGATTGCGGACCCCATCATGACGAGGGCTCGATGACACGTGTCCTCCTGCCCCCTCCACGTGAGAGGGTCCGCCCTCTCGATCTCGCCCTTTTCCTTCCAGCGGTGGCTCCGGGCGAGGCTGCCCTCACTCCCGTCTCTGGGTTGGAGTTGAGGTACTTCCTTAAGCTGGGGCCGGTTATCCTCCTTCTCACACGTGTTGGCCCTGTCCCTGCCGTGTGCTGGGCGTGTCCTGCTGAGTGTGAGCATCCCTGGGTGGATGCGGGTCCAGTTTCTGCCCTGACTCAGTTCAAAGTTTCTCCGGGAAGAAGAAATTAAAGACGTAATATCACCCACTCCGTGTGATGGGAGTTGTGATGTGGAAAGAACAGTGCCATAGAGCATGTGATGGGTAGGGGGGCAGCGATGGGGGAGGGACCACCGCCTGGTCTAGAGAAAGCCTCCTGAGAAAGATGTTTGGCCTGGCGCCTAGAGACGGATGGAGTGAGCGAGCAGAGGTGGCGGGTGTTATGGACTAGATGTTTGTGTCCTCCCAAACTCCTGTGTTGGAATCCTGGCTGCCCAAGAGTGATGGCAGTAGGCGCTGGGGCTTTGGGGTGATAGGTCATGAGCGTGGAGCCTCGTGAATGGGATTTGTGTTTTTAGGAAAGAGACCCCACAGAGCTCCCTAGTCCTGTCCGCATGTGAGGGACCTGGAAGGGGGCCCTCACCCAACGAGTATGTGGGCTCCCCGATCTCAGACTTCCGGCCTCCAGAACTGTGTTCAACACATGTTTGCTGTTGTAAGCCACCCCGTGTGTCGTATGTTGTTACAGCACCACCGTGGACTAAGACAGGGTGGGAGCTCTTCCCAGGCACGGGAAACAGCACACGGAAGCCCAGGTCCCGAGAGGGCACTGAGGATTGAGTTTTGAGTGTGAGAGGGAGACGTGAGAGATGAGCTCAGAGAAGCAGGCGGGACAGGTCGCCTGCAGCGCTTAGAGTCGCAGTAAACCATTTGGAGGCCTGGCCTCCATTGAGAAAACGATTTTGTCCTCTGAGAACCTACCAGCCTGTGAGCAGACTGCCGACCTAGGATGGCCATTGGCTGTGCATCTGGACCAGGGAACCTGGAGGTGATAGATTTGAGAACTCATCACACCTCTGCCCCAGCACAGCTGACACAAGTCACCTCCGCAGATTCAGGGACCTGGGAGAGTCACTTCCCTTCTCTGGCCATCGTTTTCTCAACTCTGAAACAATGGCGTTGGACCACGTCCTCTCCAAGGTCCCTTTCAGACCGAAAATAAAGGTAGCGCCCAGCACAGAGTCAGGGCTCCATAAGTGCTTGCTGAATGAATGGACTCCTTGCTGGGGTGCCCACGGTTCTCGCCGGGCGAAGGCACCCCATCCTAGTGAGTCAGGGCTGGTGGCTCTCTTTGCCTGTTAGGGACCCACTGAAGTACTTCCCTAGAGGGGAGTACCCTTGGCTCTGGGGAGAAGCTGGCTCAAGCTGGCTTCCAGACTTGGTGAGTAGAAAGCAGCGACAGCCTGGTCAGGAGTCAGCGGCAGTATAACTCGGGCATTGTCTAGTTTGCCGTGTGTGGTTCTTTAATTTGTGAGGGATCCCGAATGCCCCCGACATGCGGAAACTGGACACTTTGCTGAACAGATGTGAACTGTGCACTCTGCAAGGCGGGTGCGTGGGAGAGGGCGGAGCCCAGCTGGCTGCCAGCAGCCACACCCACTGGTCCTCATGTAAAACAGCTGCACAGAATCCCCAGGAGGCGGGTCTAGTATTCCCCTCGCTTCTCAGAGGGGACACTGAGGAAGGTTCCCTTTGCTCAGTGGGTCCTCACCTGGGCCTGCTGTGTGTGCCAGGCCCGAGCTGATGCTGGGAGGTGCAGGAGAGAAGGCGCCTCCAGGCCAGGCTCTCTGGAGATCGGAGCCCACGGGAGCACGCTCCGGGGAGGAGGCGGCAGAAACCCAACCCAACCACATACGGACCGTTCAGTGACAAGTGTGACACCACCAGAGGGGCAGATGCCTGGGCTCTGAGGCCCTGTGCCAGGAGGTCGGGGAGACATCTGGAGGTGGTGAAGGAGTCCCCAGGCAGAGGCCTGGCCGTGCAGAGCCCTGTGGTGGGAGGGGTTCTGGCTCAGCACCCAAGTACTGAGGTCCTGAAAGAAAGTTCTCAGAGCCGGAGGAGAGGGCCAGGTGAGGTGCAGGGTTCCTGCGAACCTTGCCAAGGATTCTGTCTCATCCCAAGACTCTCAGGAAGCAGTAAAGGCTGGAAAGAGGACTCAGGCTGAGGGGGTGGGGGTGGGAGGATGGATTGGAGGGGGTGAAAGTGGGCGTGCAGAACCCGGCAGTAAATGATGCCATAGCCCAAGACACAGATGATGGCGTTTGGTTCATGATGGTGGAGGCACAGAATAATCTGGACACTTGGGAGGGTCTCTGAACATAAGGGCTGGGTATGTCACCCCACTGCTCAACCCTGCCCCCCCCCCCCCCGTGAGCCTTTCTCACGTAGATGCAACCACTGCCTGTGCTCCCAGGTGATCTGCCCCCGATCCTCCTCTGCCAGGCTCCGGTTGCCCGGGTCAGACTGGTCTCTGCCTGTCCTGAAACATGCCAAGATGCATCTACCTCTGCCGTTTGCAAATTCTTTCTTGGGGGCGCTGTTCTTCCCCAGATACCATACACTCAGTCATCTCTTCAGGGCTCTGCTCAGTGCCTCTTACCTGACTGTAAATGAAAGTGCTCCCCTGGCTCCAGCCCAGCAGGCATGCTCAGCCCCTCAGCCTGCTTTTCCTCCAAAGCACCTTTCCCCGTCTGACACATATTTGTCTATTTATGGTCTTCCCCCCACCCCTGCCTCCCGCTTCCTTCCTACCCCTGCTGCCAAGTGTAAGCTTCACAAAGACAGAAACTTTGTTTTATTGGTGTCTCCCCTGCCTGGAAGAGTGCCTGACTCACACAGTAGGGACTCGTGAAATATTGTTAACCAAGTGAAAAGATGAATGAATGGGCTACCTTAGTGTGACACATACGTACATATCTAAGTAGATATGTATGTATGTTATTTACACGATATGATAACCAATGAAGTTGAACTCATTTTCTGATACTTAGTGGCAATTCGTATCTCTCCTTTGTAAATTGTCATTTCATGTCTGTTTATTTTCCCTGTGAAGATGATGATACTGTTCAATTTATGTGCTCTTCATATATTACGAATAGACATGCTCCCTACTTTAAAATGTGCATTACGGAATTAGATCCTGTTTTAGTTGAAGGTGTCTGAAGTGCCTTTAAGGTTGAAGAAGTCACTGATGTCCGAATCATTTCCTCCCTCTGTTTCTCTAATTCCACTTGGTTCGCAGAATTGGACGCGTGTGCTCTGGGGGACCACGGTTGCGAGCATTCCTGTGTGAGCAGCGGAGACTCCTTCGTGTGCCAGTGCTTTGAAGGGTATCTGCTCCGGGAAGACGGGAAAACCTGCCGATGTAAGTTTTTAGCGGAGTTGGCTCCATCATTGTGTCTGACCTCTGCACGAACCCACCATCCCGATCTCTGTGTCATCAGTTGCTCTCAGTTAGTGCCGCATGACCACCAAATGCAATGTGGGATCCTGGGTGGGATCTTGGGTCGGAAAAGTGACAGCAGGTTAAAATTAAGGAAATGCAGCCCTAGCTGGTTTGGCTCAGTGGATAGAGCATCAGCCTGCAGACTGAAGGGTCCCGGTTTCGGTTCTAGTCAGGGGTACATGCCCAGGTTGTGGGTTCGATCCCCAGTAGGGGGCGTGCAGGAGGCAGCCGGTCAATGATTCTATCTCATCATTGATGTTTCTATCTCTCTCTCCCTCTCCCTTTCTCTCTGAAATCAATACAAATATTTATGAAACAAAAAAATTAAGGAAATGCAAACAAACTATGGACTTTAGTGGATATTAGTTGTTGTATCAATATTGGTCTGTGAATTTTATAACATGTATTACACTAAATGAAAATGTTATAGGGGACACTGGGTATGGGGGTTTACGGGAGCTTTCTGTACTATCTTTCCAATTTTTCGGTGCATCTAAAACTCTCCTAAACAATAAAGTCCAGTACAAAGAGCACAAGCAAATGCACAAATGAGAAAAGTCATGGCCAGAGCTATAACGGAAGTTGCTCACTAATGCCTGAGGCAAGAAGCAGTGGGTTAGTAGCGTGGCTTCACGGGAAGATGGACAGTCTGAAACCCAGGGTTCTATCAACTTCTGTCTCTGCCACTTATTACCTGGGCAAGTTGCTTAACTTCTCCGCACCTTTGTTTCTTTATTTCTAATAATGCTGTTGTTTCCGGGAGCACAAATCCCTCAGAGAGACCACCGTATGAGGAGGCCATTCTTACGTCTCAGAAAGCAAAGCCTCTTAGATGGGCCAAGTCCCTCTCTGTATAGTCAAAGGGGAGTGTGATGCTGAGCAAGGGATTTCCATCCCTATCAATCACCTTTTCTCAAGCTGCTCAGAGCACTTCTCAAAGGGCAAGCCATGTTTACAGAGATGGGTAACCGGAATGACTACTCTCGTTTTAAGGCTCCGGAGGGTGATGTGACTCTGAGTCACGTCATGTGTCGGACAAGGCCAAACTTAGATTTCAGTGCTGCTCATCTAAATGGAGGTTTAATTTCCTAAGTAAACACCAAAAGTGTTTCCCTTCTGATAGAAGAAACTGCATCTGCAGAAAGCTGGTGAGGGACTGCATTTTTATGAGACACTGAATTAGATGCTGGTGAGTGAGGACGGTGACGACAGTGAGGAGGTTTGAGTCAGGCCACATCAGAGCCCCCGAACTTCATCCTCAAGTTCACCCTCCTCCCCATGGGCCCCTGAGCTCAGGGGACTCTGGAGCCTGGGGCTGAGATGAATGGATCCTCTGAGGTGACGCTGGGGAAACGTTACGTTGATGAAATTGTTTTAAGTCGCTCTGCTGTCCTCAGGGAAAGACGTCTGCCAAGCAGTAGACCACGGCTGTGAGCACATTTGTGTGAATAGCGGGGAGTCCTACATCTGCAAGTGCTCGGAGGGCTTCCGGCTCGCTGAGGATGGGAAACGCTGCAGAAGTAAGTGAGCTCCAGCGGAGCTGAACTTGTCCCTCTGTGGGATGTGGTTATATAACTTCGTTTAATCTTAAAGATCTTCCTTTGCAGTTCATGTCACAGTTACAGGTTCCTGCCGTGGGCACTCCGAAGGGTTTTGCTCGTGATCAGGACAGTCGACCCTTAGTTGTTAGGAATTTCTCGGTCGAGGTCCCGAGACATCAGGCTCTTTGCTTCTTTTCATCCTCTCCCCGCTGTTGGCCCTCTTCCCAGGAGCTCTGGGGGTGCTCAGAGCCTCGCACAGTGCCTGGCTACTCATGGGACTGCATTAGAATCTCTGTGAGCAATCGTCATGGGGATCAGAGGTTAACTATGGTGCTTTTTCTTCTTGGAGGCCCTCAGAAGTAAAGGTTGTGTGTGTGTGTGTGTGTGTGTGTGTGTGTGTGTGTGTGAATGGATGGATGGATGGATAGAATATGACTATGGGGGTTGGCAAGTCTGATGTCTGCAGGGCAGGCTGGCAGGCTGGAGCTCCAGGGGAGAGCTAATGTAGTTCTAATCCAAAGGCAGTCTGCTGGCAGAATTCCCTCTTTCAGGGGGGCATTAGTCTTTTTTAATATTTTTTTTATTGATTTCAGAGAGGAAGGGAGAGGGAGAGATAGAAACATCAATGATGAGAATCATTGATTGGCTGCCTCCTGCACTCCCCCTACTGGGGACCGAGCCCACAACCTGGGCACCTGGGCATGTGCCCTTGACCGAAATCGAGCCCAAGACCAGGTCCTGCAGGCTGTCACTCTATCCACTGAGCAAAACCCGCTAGGGCTCTCCCCTCCCCCCTTAAAGCCTTCTACTGACTAGGTGAGGCCCACCACAATATGGAAGATACCCTACTTTACTCAGTCTACTGATTTAAATGTTAATCTCATCTGAATTGCTTCGTTGCAACATCTAGACTGCTGTTTGACTATAGCACAGAAATTAACCATCACAGCACCCGAAGAAAGACAGGGACAGAGACACACGAGCTCAGTGAGGTGGGCATTGGCAGAGCGCAGGGCACCCTGACTGGGTGGCTCAGTTGGTTGGAGCATCGTCCCGTACACCGAAAGGTTGCAGGTTTGATTGCTGGTCAGGGCAGATTCCTAGGTTCTGGGGTGCGTGGGGAAGGTAACCAATCGATGTTTTTCTCTCTCCTTTCCTCTCTCTCTAAAGTCAATAAACATATACTCGGGTGAGGGGGAAAAAAGAGCACAGGACAAAGATTTTTCTCCACAGTGAGATTCTGAGCTGTTAATCCTACTTTGGGGCAGGGGAGGGGCTGGGTTTCAACACTGTCTACCTGCTTTTGTGACCTTCTGTTCCAGTGTGCAGAATGGCCCTTTTTACATCAAGGCACAATAAACTCCTTTGCTTTTTTGGTGGATTTGGGGGAATTTCCTCATACTCCTTTGAGGTCATTGGGGTCATTCCATGTGTCAACAAAGCTGGGTTAGATGTAACTCATTGCTCTCCTCTTCCACCAGCAAGAAGGGCTCCTACCTTGAGCGGGAACTCTGGGGTGCCTGCGGGGCCCTGGCCTAGCTCTGCAGGGCTCACCCAAGGACCTGTTCTGCCCCCACAGACAGCATCCTTTCTACGGAGACCATGTCTGCAATTCTGCCCAATATGCCTGCCCAAGCCGTTTGCGCCTGCTTGTATTTCTATTTCTGTAAATGCAAGTGTACACACAGGCACCATTTATTCACTCAGCACATTTGTTGCTTAGTAATGGTACAACTTCTACCTCTGGAATTTAATTGCTAAATCAAATCCCTCCATTCCACGTTCTAGGGCAGTGGTTCTCAACCTTCTGGCTCTTTAAATACAGTTCCTCGTCGCCTAAGACCATCCTGCATATCAGATATTTACATTACGATTCATAACAGTAGCAACATTACAGTTATGAAGTAGCAATGAAAATAATTTTATGGTTGGGTCACAACATGAGGAATTGTATTTAAAGGGCCAAGGGGTCGCGACCCACAGGTTGAGAACCGCTGTTCTACAGCGTGTTTGGAGGAAACTCCCCTTTAGGGAGCCAATGACAGGAAAGAGCCGCAGGCTTTCTCGCTGTGGAGGGGGAGGACTCCCGACGGTGCCTCATCCGTGTCCTCAGCTTGCTGCGCTCTGGCATCTGTGGAACTTTCTGAGCCTTTTCATTGTACGTTGGTACAGTTATTCCTGACTTCCTCTTATCACGGGACGTCGTGAAGATCAAAGGGCTGTCACTACTTTGAAGAGTTTAAAAATGAGAAGTGTTGATTAGGCTATTAAAACAGGAGTGCGGGGGATGTCTATGGGGAAAAATCAGTAGTTTGGGAAAATCAAAGTCCAGTGCAGGTCGAACAGTTCGAAAAATTAATAATAAATTCAGGACACCGGTCACCCACCTTACCTACCATTCAGGCTTGGGGGAGTGAGAGCTTTCTGTGAGGCGTGTCCCCTCCCCATGTCCTGGGCATTAGACTGAAAGGGGATGCATAGAGGAGGTTTGAACACAGATGGAAAATAGATTGCTTTCGCGATCTCTCTGGACATGACTAGTCAAGCCAGCTGTTTCTACGCTGATGGGATTGCTCGGCTCTGCGTTTTCCTCAGGGAAGGATGTCTGCAAGTCGACCCACCATGGCTGCGAGCACATTTGTGTTCATCGTGGCGATTCCTACATCTGCAAATGCTCAGAGGGATTCATTCTAGCTGAGGATGGCAGACGGTGCAAGAGTAAGTGATCTGAACTTGGCTTTCTGCTTTAATGTGGTTTGGGAGTAAGTGTCTGAATTGGTGCAACATTTAGAAGGGCCATTTGGCAATTATTTAAAGGCAATTCAGCTTGTCGGAGTTTATCCAATGACTATGTGCATGTATTCCCAAAGCTATAGACTGTATATAAGAACATTTTGTGCAGTATCGTTTGTATCAGCAAAAAAATTGGGAACAAGGTCAGTGTCCATCCATGAGAGACTGATCAGGTAGATTATGGTGCAGCTATACAGTAGAATACTATACAGCTGTTAAAAGAGTGAAGCAGCTCTAGATGTATTCCCAGGATGTTTTAGCTGAAAAAAGCATGGAGCTCAATGGTTTTTATAATATATTACCATTGATATATGTCGTAGAGGCTCTCTCTACCATACCATGTATGGTGAGAGAGGGGACACACAAACACACACACAGATACACACATACACATACAGACATACACATATATACATACTTTTTGGTAATGTTTGAATTTTGTTCCATGTGCATATATTATCTTGTAGAAAAAAATTAAGAAAAAGGATAGAGACAAAATTTAGAAAGCATCAATGGTGAGGGAGCTCAGTATGGTGATGAGTCAAAAATAAAGGAAGAAACTGGGGTCTTTGTAGAAAAATTCAAATACCTCAGTCATGATTTCTGGTCCCCTCCCCCCCTCTCCCCCCTACCCCCCCACCCCTCACCCTCCCCCCACCCCCTCATCCTCCCCCCCACCCCGGGGGAGGGAAAGGTCCCCGGGAGAAGCTGCAGCTCAGCATGAGGACAAAGACGCTTTCCCACAGGGCAGCCATGTGATTAATTAGTGAAGATTGTGAGCTTTGGGTCAGACAGATCTGGATTTAAACCCCATTCATACACTTGTGTGAATTGGACAGATCGTTTAGCTTCGCCATTGGCGGTCGAACGACCCTTTCACAGGGGTCGCCTGAGACCATCCTGCATATCAGATATTTACATGACAATTCATAACAGTAGCAACATTACAGTTATGAAGTAGCAACGAAAATAATTTTATGGTTGGGTCACAACATGAGGAACTGTATTTAAAGGGCCAGAAGGTTGAGAACCACTGGTCTAGAGTATGAAGAATAAATAAGATCTGATATTTAAAGGTGCTTAGCCCAGTGTTGTCCCATTCTAAGTGCTTGACAAATGATAGCTGTGGTCATCCAGGCCAGAGCTGTCCGGAGCGGGACCTCAGGGAGAGGGATGGGTTCCTCAGGAGAGGTGCCCTCTGAGTGGCTGCCTGCCTGGGATGTTGCAAAGATGCCAGCAGCAGGGGGGCTGCACAGGGCAACCTTTAAAGGTTCTATTCAACGCTGAAACTCGGGAACTCTGTGAAAAGCCAATCAGTTGACTTAGCTGCCAAGGAAAGTTGGAGTGGCCCTCCTGCAAAGCCCCAGTGAGCACGTGGGCTGCAACCCTCCCGCATCCGAGGGCAGAAGTGGGGCACCTCTCCCCTGACGCCCCTCACTCCACCCAGCGCTCGTTTCCTGGAGAAGCTCCTGTGCCCCTCTGTGCGCCCAGCCGCTGGGTGTGTTCTGTGAGGAAAGGGTAGATGAGGAAGAGGAGAAAAGGCGCTCACTGCTAGAAAACTATTCCAGTGTTTCTGAAATCTGCCAGGGATCCACACGCACTACGCCTGAGTGGCTTTTTGTTTGTTTGTGGGGTATTTTTTTTTTTTTGGTTGATTCAGGAACAGGCTATGAATGTACGTGAAGCTCTGAATTGGCCTTTTCCTCGTTCACTAATAAAGAATCAATAAGGTGAATGATGAGGACAAGCACTTAATGGAGAAAGAGAGGGACCCAACCTCCCAACACACACACACACACACACACACACACACACACACACACACGTCACTCAGGCCAGGCGTAGACATATTTCTGCATGTGTGTGCCTTGTTTATTTATTGTGCTTCATGTTCAAAGATTAGACAGCTGCTTGATATATAACAGAGAATGTTATGAGATCATCCATTTGGATCTGTAAATGTCTTATGCAGCCCTAAGTAACAAAAAAAATCTCTCCACACCCGGATTGCTTAAGTATTTGCATAAAGCTTTTACTGTCAACCATCTGCATTGCCTGGAAAGCTTTCCTGTAGATAAAGAATTCCCAGTGATAATTCATTTTTAAGTTTTTATAGATCAGTAGGGCACAAACAGGCATGCTACCCAATGGACACCACCTCCTTTATTTTGTCAACAAGCATTTGTTGAATACCTACTGTGTGCCAGGTTTGGGGGGTGCAGAAATGAATGAGATATGGCCCCCGATGAGGAGGAACTGGCAGGCTGGAAGAGGAGACCACACACGATCAGCTCTCGCCCAGCGTGTGGGGTACCCTGGACGACACGCGGCGGGGAGCCGGGTTCGTCTTGGTCTCCATCGCAGTCCTGCTGTGCCTCCTGCCTTGCATGAAGCACATGCTCAATAAGCAGGTTTTTGTCGAATAAATGTGTGTGTGTGTGTGTGTGTGTGTGTGTGTGTGTGTGAGGGGTGCACACAGAATAACTGGTACAAGCTGGGTTCCTGTGACGCTCCCTGGAAAAGGTGATGGCTGAGCTGCATTTAAGGATTTCCGTCTCCGCTGTCTGTCAGAATGCCAGCACTGGGTGGGATCAGCCTCCTGGAGTAAAGTTACAGAAGCTTCTGGGTGCTGTCAGGCCCTTCAGTGTCCTTTACACAAGTCCCTCCAGACCTGGCTGTCAGAGCCCAGGGTGCGGGGGCCTGGTTCCCTAGTGTGTGCCTCTGCCGTGCGTCTCTCCCAGCAACTCGTGGCTGTGTGTTATCTAGAGAACAAAGGTGGTTCTCCAAAGTGGCCGTGCCTCCAACTGAAGCATAATTGTCTTCTACTCTTGTGCATAAATAATTGTTTAAAAATCCTATCTCAGCTTTCCTTTCGTTCTTATAGGATGCTCTGAAGGCCCAATTGATCTGGTCTTTGTGATCGATGGATCCAAGAGCCTCGGAGAAGATAATTTTGAGATCGTGAAGCAGTTTGTCACTGGAATTATAGATTCCCTGGTGATTTCCCCCAAAGCCGCTCGAGTGGGGCTGCTCCAGTATTCCACGCAGGTCCGCACGGAGTTTACCCTGAGAAACTTCAGCTCGGCCAAGGACATGAAAAAAGCCGTGGCCCACATGAAATACATGGGCAAGGGCTCCATGACGGGGCTGGCCCTGAAACACATGTTTGAGAGGAGTTTCACGCAGGCAGAAGGGGCCAGGCCTCTCTCCGCACGGGTGCCCCGGGTGGCCATCGTGTTCACCGACGGACGGGCTCAGGATGATGTCGCCGAGTGGGCCAGTAAAGCCAAGGACAGTGGTAATGTGGATGGAGGAGCGGTGGACACCACTCCAGGTTCAGGTTGCTTAAGCTCACGCGGTGGTCACAGCTGGCCACCGGGGTGAGATTCTGCGGGTACAGACTGCTGTTACACACCTCTCCCAAACTGCCCTCGAGAGGCCTTAAGGGGAGTTACGGGGCGGGAAGGATGCAGAAGGGTTGCAGACCGGAGATTAGCCCAGACACAGACCCCACCCCCGAGAAATCATCTACTGCACTGCACCAGCCCGGGTGTGACCTCCCGCGGAGAGAATCAATCCTACACGTGCTATTTACCACAGAAAAATACACAACAGTCCCCAAACACTGGTAAAAATAGATTCCTGGTGGAACTTTTCATTTTTTTAAAAATGTTTTTGTTGGTTTTAGAGAGAGAGGGAGAGGGGTAGAGAGATACATTGATGAGAGAGAAATTTCATCAATAAGCTGCCTCCTGCACTCCCTGCACTGAACCAAGCCCACAGCCCAGGCATGTGCCCTGCCCAGGAGTCAAACTGGTGACCTGTTGGTTCCTGGGTCGACACTCAATCCCTGAGCCACACTGGCCAGGCTGATACTTTAAAAAAACTAACAGCCCTAGCTGGTTTGGCTCAGTGGGTAGAGCGCTGGCCTGCGGACTGAAGGGTCCCAGGTTCGATTCTGGTCAAGGGCACATGCCCAGGTTTCGGGCTCAATCCCCAGTAGGGGGTGTGCAGGAGGCAGCCGATCAATGATTCTCTCTTGTCATTGATGTTTCTATCTCTCTCTCCCTTTCTCTCTGAAATCAATAAAAATATATTTAAAAATAAATAACTAAATAAACAACAAAACTAATACTGCAAGTGAACAGGGAAAGCACAACAGCCTTGGGAGAGCAAATACTCTTGTGTTTGCAAGAGGCAAAAGTTAGCTTTTGAGAAAATCCAACTGTAGGAGATTATGACTAAGCTCTCATTGCTCAGTAGAACTCGCCTCTTCTCCGAGCTGTATGATGCAAGGGGGACTGGGGGTTACTTTATGGTGGGCGGATGTGAAGTGTGACAGGAGTTTGGCCCTTGGAAAAGGAAACCCAAAAGCTAGGTGGTTGGTAGAGACAGCTTAAGGCAAAGTGTCCGAATTCTTTGGGGAGATGAGAAAACCTGAGGTTGTGAAGCAGTTTGCGGAAAAGCCACCTCTTTAGGAAGTTGGTGAGGGCACGTTGCTTTAGCAGGTCCTACAGAGCGGAAAAGGGGATGCACAGACCAGGGCTTCATCCGAGACTTTCCAGACCCAGTGCCGGGCATGTAGCACATGCGTGACTAGTACTTGCCAAACAAGGAGTGGAAGTGCCAGCGAGCCCACGGGTGAGCTCCATCCTCCAGAAAGGCCGGTTCACATCGGCTTCCAGTCACTCTTTGTAAGGAGGCCAACGCTGTGATAGTGCTTCCCTCACTAGTCACACCTTTTTTCTGTGCTCAAGAGTAGTAGCCATGAAGGGTCCTGCCTAAATCATCTGGTGTCCGCTCCCTCCCAGCTCCTCTGCTTCTAGACTAGCTTGTAAAAGCTCATGTCAAACCCATGTGCCCCTAGAGCTGCCCCCTCAAAATACTGGGGAAAGCATCTGTCTCCAAAGACCGTGGTTGGCCCTTTCATTTGTCACATTGAGATCAATCTACCTTTCTTTTTCGCCAACTCACATTTCCACAAGTCACCCCAAGGCAGGTGGTAGGAGAAACATGTTTATTTGGTTCTTGAATCAAGAAATGTATCGGAAGTGACATCTTCTAATGAATTTAATTATTCCTATGCCTAGCTAACACAATCTTAAAATAGTAATTATCCTTTTTGGGAAGTTGTACATAAACTCACTGGGCTCTTAGACAAGTATGCTGAACTTGACTACTGACCTGACATAGACTTAGAATAAGGCATAACTCTTGCCCCTTCGCCTAAAGAGCCATTTTTATGTGTATTTTAAAAAAATATCTAGTCTAATGAATTAGCCATAATAAGATATCAGTGCTGAAAAATTTTGACAATCAAGTAGAACTTAAGTTCTTATTATTTTACTTTCAAATACAGAGTATACAGGGCAGGGAGTCTAATGATTGATCATTTGAAAAGCTTTTGGAGCCATCTTGTATCTCTTTGAATATCTAATGTTGATTCTTGGTTTGTTCTTTTTTCCTGACTTTGGGGCTTTCCAGTCTGCGGGTCTGCGGGTCCTTTTCAGCTTGGCACCTCCTCCCATGGCTTTGTCTTCCCAAGGGCGGTAGGCAGAAGGCAGCCTCACCTGGCCCAGGTCACTTACGCTCCTCTCCAGTACCACTGAGAAGTGGAAACTGTTATGAGGTCATAAAATGCCTCTCTTAGACTTCTCCCAGGAGATTCCCCTTCAGTCATCCATAGCTCCTTTCCACTCTATCCACAGGCTAACTCAAGGAAAAAGTAAGATTTGTTAAGTGACCTTCCCCAGAGCCAAGCAACAGGATGGTGGTCTAGCTCCCAAACCTCTCTTGGATTCCTGGCTTTTGCTCACAGAGCCAACATAAAAATGGTGAAAAAATAAAATGAGGTTGACATGGAAATCACACCATTTAACATCTAGCTTTGGGTGCAGTATACACAACTACAGGCCATGGGAACACAGCTCTAACCACCTTGTTCTTACTTCTCTGCACTGTAGGTATAACCATGTATGCTGTCGGGGTAGGAAAAGCCATCGAGGAAGAACTGCAAGAGATTGCCTCCAAGCCCACGGACAAGCATCTCTTCTACGCCGAGGACTTCAGCACGATGGGCGAGATAAGTGAAAAGCTAAAGAAAGGCATATGTGAAGGTACTAGAGCTTACGTCTAGGAGAGAGCTTAGCAAACGGGGCAGCTGAACCCTTGAATGAGAAATTCTCAACCCATTCCCTCAAGGGGCTCAGAAAAGTGTCTCCCTGCGGTGCAGGGCCAGTGACACCTGTAAACACACGCACAGAGGGCGGAAGAGGGGTCAGAGGAGACAAAAGTAACCGCCAACGTGCGTGGTGATGCTGTGCTGAGCGGTGTGATAGCGCTTTGACACACTGGCATACTCAATCCTCACAAAACTCTTTTGGAGATGGTCATTTAAGAAACCATTTTATATATCGGGAGGGCTGATGCGCAACTTCAGGGTATGGCTGTAAGTGGGGGGGAAGGGATGGTAGCCCTTTCTAGTCCACTGTAGACAATGAAAGAATGTCTCCGGGCATGGGCTCCATCTGCTTGTAGAACATTAGGCTGCCCTTTAGGCAGTGATGGCGAACCTATAACACGCGTGTCAGAGGTGACACGCGAACTCATTTTTTTGGTTGATTTTTCTTTGTTAAATGGCATTTAAATATATAAAATAAATATCAAAAATATAAATCTTTGTTTGACTATGGTTGCAAAGATCAAAAAATTTCTATATGTGACACGGCACCAGAGTTAAGTTAGGGTTTTTCAAAATGCTGACACGCCGAGCTCAAAAGGTTCGCCATCACTGCCTTTAGGATTTAGATTTATGTACACGAGCTCCCTCTGCTTTTCTCGTTTACTGTGCCACGTCAGGCCTGCTGACATGTAGCAGTTCTGCCCATTTTCCCTTTTCCTCCTGTCCCAGGTTCAGTCACCAATAAAATCCCAGTCTAAGTGATATACCTTATTCCTCTCTAAAAGAAGGGGACGGGGAGGGAAGGCCTTTCAGATTTCTAATCTGAGTAGATAATGTTTTGCCTCTAGGCCAGGGGTGGGGAACCTTTTTCCTGCCAAGGGCCATTTGGATATTTATAGCATCATTCACTCAACACATTGCTGACCAGTAGTTTTATTGCTAGCTTTACCCAGTGGCCAGATAAGTTACTGTTGAACGAGTACAAAAAACGTTTTACATGAATGTTAAAGGCACACTTGAAAATTAAATACCCATTGCATTTTGAAGTTATTTATTACATGTTCTTACAAGCTATCTTTTTAAAGTATGATACTTTGTAAAACACTGTAATATGAAGCGAGAATTCTCATGATCCGTCCGCATAATATATTTAATATACATTTATGTTGCTATAGACAAAGCTCCTAGATTTATTGAATTTTGAGCCTGACCTGTGGCTGCCTGGCAGGGCCAGACCAAATGATAAGGCCCATTCCAGTGGAAAAGCTTCAAGAAGAGCATTGCCACTGCAACTTGATGCTTGAACTTTCCCCACCTCACCTCTTACACATGGTATTTGGGGTATTCCTAAGCAGCACGTAAGGGGTCCAGGCTTCCCCCAGTAGAGAACTCTCGAGTGGTCTTGTAGCCAAGTGCTCTTTGGATCTGTGGTGTTAGCAAATGAAACTGAAAAACCCTGGGTTCCATCAGGGAGGTAAGGAGCTGGTCTGGGACCAGTTTCCCGAATGACATGTGTGCATGCGGACAACTGTCACCCCTTCTGGTCATCTTTTCCCTCTCAGCTCTGGAAGACTCTGACGGAAGTCAGGACTCCCCAGCTGGGGAATTGCCAAAGAGGGGTCACCAGCCAACAGGTAAGTAAAAATCAGTGTTCTCAGAGCCTTTGGTGGAAGCTCCCACCATGGCTTCCCCCCAGACAGAAATTGTAAAGAGATGAAAGCAAGAGCTGAACTATAACTGTGGCTCTTCCCCTTGATCAGACAGGAAACACTGACTCCACACCTTAAGCCATGTTTGGTAATAGCCTCTCTGAGTCTCATTACCAAAGTTTTTCCCAAAGTCAAGTTGTGTGCCCCGTGCTAGGAACACCACGTACCTTACTCTGATCACTGGCAGCTTTTTACACCACAGCCAGGTTAGGCAGGGTTGACTTCACTTGTCTTTCTCTTTACAGAATCTGAGCCAGTCACCATAAATATCCAAGACCTACTTTCCTGTTCTAATTTTGCAGTGCAACACAGGTATCTGTTTGAAGAAGACAGTCTTTCACGGTCTGCACAAAAACTGTTCCATTCCACAAAATCTTCAGGTAATTCCTAGTAGAATATGAGTATAGGTCAGTGATGGCGAACCTATGACACGCGTGTCAGAGGTGACACGCGAGCTCATATTTTTGGTTGATTTTTCTTTGTTAAATGGCATTTAAATATATAAAATAAATATCAAAAATATGTCTTTGTTTTACTATGGTTGCAAATATCAAAAAATTTCTATATGTGACACGGCACCAGAGTTAAGTTAGGGTTTTTCAAAATACTGACACGCTGAGCTCAAAAGGTTCGCCATCACTGCTATAGGTTACCTTGATAACAGCCTCTTCGCTTGCCAACAAACTCAGTGTAAAAGAGGAAAGAAAGGAGGAATGAGGAAATCAGGTGGGGAAAAGAGAACGTAAGTAAAATGAGATCTAAAAAGAGGAACTGAAGTGGTCTCCCCATCCACAGTACAGGCCACTTCGGAGCTGGAAGGCTTCCCTGGGTTTACGGGATCTGGCTGTGTGGAAAAAGTTGAACATTTCTTTCATTACGGTTTCCTCCATCTGCTGATTCAGTCCCATTATTATGCATCTGGGAAATCTGGTGGGCTCACAGAGGTGAACACTTTCCATCTGCTTTCTCAGGAAGTCCTTTGGAAGACAAACCTGATGAATGCAAATGTGAAAACCTCATAATGTTCCAGAACCTTGCAAATGAGGAAGTAAGAAAATTAACACAACGCTATATCCTTTTCTGGTTTTGTGCTTCTGTATGGAATGCAGAGAACATTATCAAACCACCCCAAGCACAAAGGAAGTCATTTCCATGATGCCAAGAGCAGTGAGCTCCGGGAAGGCTTCTTTCTCAAGCAGCCTGATGGGGTCTGGGAGCCAAGGGTGAGCCCAGCTTAGTGCAAGGCTCAACCACGGAGCTGCCGTCTGCTGTTCTGGAGGGCTTAGCAGTAAGGCCAGTCGGCCAGTCAGTACGCGGAGGAAAGGAACACACATGTAGTGCACTCCCTCTCTGCGGGGAGAAAATGGAGGCTATGTCCCGATCGGAAGTATACCAAAGGTATAGTATCAGGGGCAAAGCACGTTGTGGAACCAAGAGGTTTCAAAGTCCCTCTAAACTCCAAGCTTTTCCTTTGGCCCCAACCCACACTGTAGCCACATTTGGTCAGTGTTTAGTTTCTAGAGGACTGGGGTTGGGTTTTTTGTTTTTGGTTTGGCAGCAAAGATCTTTTATATCAGCACTCTGAGATGAAACATTCCACCAAGGGAACAGCAGGATCCAGTGATTCATTAAAACAATATTACAAATAAGAGGAATGCTTTGGGATAATGGAGAAATGAAGATTTAGCACTTTACACACGGAACAGCCTGCCAACTGCTCCGAACTTATTAGTCAGCGTACTAAAGCTGGCTTGTATCTATCTCAACACGGACCCATCAGCCAGTCAGTAGGGAAATGGTTTAATTCAGAACTATTTGTGTCAGTGGGTTTCTATAAGGAACAACATATAGCAATTACCTTTCTGAAAACTGGAAATATGGTCCCCTAAAAAAATATGACTGATTAACACATCAGGGCTCTCATTCTGCCAGCAAGAGGGTGGGTGGAAGGTATTAAGGAGCTAACAGGAAGACAAGTGCCTATTCGAATGAGCCTCTCCTCTTCCTTTTCCCCACCTCAACTCTGAGGGTCTACTTCACAAGAGACTAAGAAGTTTTATATCAAAGAGCACAGGTCAGCAGTCTTCAAGGTTGCTACCCTTTGGCCATACCTGACCTAAGTGAAAACTCCCCATTTCTCTCCTGACTTGAGAGATGGCCATATCTTACTTTCCAAGGCTTAATCCTTTTATTCTCTTCACTACATCACCAACATTATCAATTCTGGCTCACAGAGGTGTGTTACTGCAAACTAATTTATAAGTAAGAAGTCTGATTAGAAATTTAAAAAAAAATAAGTTGAACCAAGCTATCCTGCTTTGATGTTTTAACTCCAAAAAAGTCTTGGTAGCATGTGTTAATAGTATAAATTTACAAGTCAGGTTTTAAAATTACTTAACAGAAATAGGAGGGGAAAAGCCTTATATTTTTAGGACAAATTTTTATGTAGGTAAATCAAGTGATATTTAAATGTAAATAAAAATGAGCGATTCCTCTTCCTTAATTTGAGATGTACTAGAAGAAATGACACAGAGAATGGAAGCCCTAGAAAATCGTCTGAGATACAGATGAAGATTGGAAATACTCTGTATTTGTATGTCATTGTATCAAGGACTACAATGAAAGCGGTTCAGAGCCCCAAAGCTCAGGCTATCGCTAATTCCGTAAGGTTGTAAACATGGTTAGTACTGAGAAAGCTGGTTCGCTATGGCACAGAGGCAAAAAGTAGACACTAACTTGTATAAACTTAATGAGGAAAAAAAATCCTTCAGAATCCTAAAATGAGTTTACCAAATGAGAACACATAAGCTATGCAAGATACTCTGTAACATACTGTGGACATGATCTGCTTTTGCCCCATCCTCCCTTAGAATGTTGCAATTGCATTGGACTACCAAGTAAAGTTTGCACGGTCTTACTGCTGTAGAACACTGGCCATAGGAAAAGCTATTTTTTGTATTGGACTTTACCTTGATATATGTATATGGACGTATGCATAAAATCATAGGACATGTACTTGTGTAACAAGTTGTTTTTTTAATACAATATTAAAATTCACTTCAGAGATGGCACTCTGTGTAAAATTCTTAGTTTAAATGCAAGATGTAAACATGAGATATGACCAATATGCGTATGAAAGAAATGTTGAATCTCACTGGTAATCAGGAAAATGCAGGTTAAAACAATGGCTTGGCAAAAATGAGTATGTCTCACTATTAACACGTGTTGGAAAGGATGTGGAAATCTGGGGCTCTTGTACAACTAGCCTCGGCATTTTAGCAGGTATGAGACTTATGCAAGAATGTTGCTAGAATATACCAAAGTCACAAATTAGAAACAGTCTGATCAGGAGGGTAACTGATGAATTGTGGCATAATCCATAGTTCAGAAATAATATACAGCATTTAAAAGGAATACACCTACATGTATACATGGTTAAACTAAAAAACAAAGTTAAATTTAAAAAGCCAATGTTAAAGTATGTTTAGCGTACCATTTCTGTAAATGTAAAGAAACCCTCAAACACAACTATTTGTTCAGATACATAAATATGTACATTTAAGTACAAAGAAATGTTCTGGAAGGATATACACAATAGTGGTTGTCCCTGGGAAAAAGAAGTGGGAATGGAGACAAGGCCAAAGGAGACTTCAGGTGGATCAGGTCAAGGCATCTAGAGCAGCAAGAAAACACCGCAGGTGGCAGTTTCATTAGGAAATGAAGACACCCAAAAGAGATCCACCCATCGATTCGGGAGGCCAACTGATGCCTTACAAAGTACCTTGAATAAGCTTTTGTTTAAATATTTCAAGACAGCCCAGCTGGTGTGGCTCAGTGGTTGAGCATCAACTCATGAACCAGGTCATGGTTTAATTCCCGACTAGGGCACATGCCAGGGTTTTGGGCTCAATCCCCAGTAAGTAGCGTGCATGAGGCAACTGGTGATGTTTCTCTCTCCCTCCCTGAAATCAGTAAGAGCATATTTTTTTAAAAATTATAAAAGTTTATTATTTCAAGACAAGCGTTTCCATCAGAATGTTCTCCCAAAGGGCAGTGTGGTACAGTAGGAACACCTAGGCTCAATCTATCTGAAAATGATTCTTTCCAAGTATGAAATGCATAATTCAAAGTCTAGTTTATATCTGAGTCATCCACTTGACCCAGTAAACAGATTTTCATTAGGAAGCATTGATTTGGGTTGGCATTACCCTTTGAGATGTAATTGACTCCATTCTACTTCACTTTCTGTTGAGTCCTGGCTCCCTCTAGTGGAGGAAGTACATTACATAATGGTTAATGTTCAAGATGTTCAAGACCCATTATCAACAAGATGAAGATGAAATTCTGGACTAGAAAGCCACAACCATATCAATGAGAATTAAGTAAAGCTTTAAGCCCTAAAAGTCATTATTCATTCTGGTTTTTGAATTTTTATTATGTGCCAACCACATAATCAATGATAAAATGTTGAAAATATTAAGTCCCAGGGAGTGGGCTGGAGGGGGTCAATGGGGGACATATGTAACCTTCAACAATAAAGATTAAAAAAAGAAAGAAAGAAAATGTTAAGTCCCTAGCCTCTGGAACCTTAGTTTAATGAGACGGATGTGAATGCCATAAGGTTCCATGGTAACTCAGAGGCACCCAATCTAGACTGGGAGAGGATGTTGGGGTGACCTGAAGGGAAAGAAACCAGATACCACAAGTAGAGGGAGCAGCAAGTCTAAGTTGGAAATAACAATTGCAAGAGAGAATATCAGAGAACTGTTTTCCATGAACCAGATGACTATCTTCCAGAAAGTCCAACAAAGTTTGGTTTCTTCTCTATATAACTTTTGCTCCTGCTATACCATAGACTGCAATTAACACTCAAAATCCAACCTCTTCTTTGGGACATTTAGAAAAAAATCTCTCAACATAGGTATGGGACTAAATATAATTGGCTGGAACGTCTAGTACCCTACATACACCAGCTTTCCAACCAAATATAATCAGAAGAGAACATTTAAAAATAACACCTTAGACCTTCCCAGATCTTAGCTTTTAAAAAAACTTATTTTATTGATTTCTGAGAGGAAGGAAAGGGAGAGAAACATCAATGATGAAAGTCATTGATCGGCTGCCTACTGCATGCCCCCCACTGGGGATTGAGTCCACAACCTGGGCAAGTGCCCTTGACTGGAATCAAACCCCGGACCCTTCAGTCTGAGCAAAACCAGCTAGGGCCAGATCTTGGCATTTTTTTTAAATTCTGGCAGCACTTGAATGGCATTTCATCATAGCTGCCTTGGACCATAAGGTGTTTTCTGTCTTTTGCTTAAAACTCCTTTTCTTGAACTCTAAAACCCTTTCTTACTAAAACAATGGTGAGTGCACAAGCATATATAAAATGGTGAAAGCCTGCCCATCCGGTGTGGCTCAGTGGTAGAGCATTGACCTATGAACCAGGAGGTCATGGTTCGATTTTTGGTCAGGGCACATGCCTGGGTTTTGGGCTCAATCCCCAGGGTCATGCAAGAGGCAGCCAATCAATGATTCTCTCTCACCACTGATGTTTCTATTATCTCTCCCTTACCCTTTCTCTCGGAAATCATTAAAAATATATTTCAAAAAAGTAATAAGGTAAAAGCTAAATGATCATATAGCATATTATCATCACTACCTAGGAGAAGACCCTAGAAACCATAAAGTATTTCCTAAAATCCATCATTAAAAAAATGCCACAGCCAATACTGGAACCTACAATACTTGTATTCTTCAGGTCACCACCCCTTAAGAAATTAAATTGGAAATAGCCAACCTGGAGGGACAAAGTAATTAGCTGCAAGGTCAATCTGAAAGGAGAAATTGAACAAGTAGGTGGAAAATACATGCATAAGATTGAAACATTTTGAACCACAGAAACAGACTAATAACATTAGGCCAGCAGTAGTCTAAGCAATTCTTATCAAGGATAAAGATTTCAAACACTTTAAACCACCTTGGGTACACCAGTGTTTGCATATGCAAACATGAGCACCTCAGGACACTTACAAATTTTTATAACTCTGTGGTTCTTAACCGAGAGATGATACTTTGAAACTGTGGGGTGACACGTGGAGGAGTTAGTGACAAAGAAGGAAAACCAGGAATAGCCTGTAGTATCCACAGCAAAGAACTGTCCCACTGAAAAATGTCAGTTCTCCCCAACTGAGTAACCGAACCAGTAAAACTCTAGTTCATAACAGCTAATCCCCAAATTATGTCCATAAACTCAGATTAACATCAGAGACAAAAATCATGGCATATTAGCCTGAAAAAGACCAATTCCCTCACTTGTGAAACTGGGAATTTGACTTACCCATTGTTGTGTAACTATTATAAGAGGGAGTCCTTTGCCTCCAAGTTCAGTAAATACCTCACCTTCTAGATAATGTACTGAAAGGCATCCTCATCTGTCTTCACTCTTCTACCATCAAAACCTCCCTGACAAAGCTGACTGATTCCGAAGTCCAAAGACATTGTCATTTTGACACCTCTGCAACCTCCCTTAGAGCCCAAGCAGACTGTGTAGGGTACCAGCACTACTCAACTCTGTAAACTGAGATGTATATAAATCAGTACCCCCCCACACCAAGATGAATTCCTCTGAATGTTTTTTCCAAGCGATATTAACAGACATACCTGGGAGATGTAATATGCAGCGACAAAATTTGGGGCAGGTGGCACATATTTAATTCTTTGATACTCAGATTTGGTAGATTTAAGGTGAATTATTAATTGTAATTGTGTGTTTCAAATCTACTGCCTCTCAAACACAAATATAAATGCCAACAATGTCCTGAGACTGGAATCATGAAAATCGAATCTCTTAAAAATCCAGTACAGGGAAGGAACTCTGTGGGAACTGGGAACTCTTAACCTAAAGGTCTTGCCACATCTAGCTGCCTCCTCCTCTAATCCTATCTTCAGGAAAGTGTAGTGAAACAAGAAGATACAAAATAACGGAAGTGAATGCAGTTTTTAAACCAAGCTCTGGCCAATTTTATTAAAGAAAAATTTCCCATGATTTACTTTTCACCAGTCTGTTCTGGCATGCTTCTAATGATATCAGAATCACCTGGAAAATAAAACAATAATAATTTTACAATTCATTTAATGGCAACTGGTAATCATGAAATTAACAGCGGTTATCTTCAAGTTATGCACTAGCTGTCCTGCCATTTCCTGAGGTTGATCATATATATCAGACTTGGTTTATCACCAGCATTTAGAAAGCCAGACCTAGGGAAAGAACTAGGTCTGGGGACACATGCATGGTCTTAATATAGCGAATGTTTAGCCTGCCCTGATTATCACAAAATCAGAACAGCGAGAATATTCGCAGTATTTTATGAATTAAAACAAGTTCAAAACACGTGCAGTTGACCCTTAAAATCAGGGATTAGGGGTGCTGACCCCTATGTGTAACTTAAGTCGGCCTTCTACACATGTATTCCCAACCACAGATTGAAACTACTGTCTTTGTTCTATAGTTGGTGAATCCACGGATGGGAAAACCATAGAAAGAAATCTGTATATGTGACTCATGAAGTTCAAAATTGTGTTTTTCAAGAGTCAATTGCTTTCCACCAATGTTTCCTCTCTGTTTAAGCAGCCAGTAGAGATTACTTTCTTCTATTCACCTGATCAATTCTCTATGAAATAAGGATATCCTTTAATATATCCAAATTATCACCATCTGAACTCAGGAACCAGTATAGCAAATACTTATATTACATTACAAAGAAAATAATATACAATTTAAGAAGCATACCTGGGTCAATGATAGCCAGTGTGCATACCCTGTAGTATTTTCCACACGCTGTGCCCAATTCAATATTATTGCCACTGTAGTGATGGACACCAGTCTTGGCCAACATGGCATAGTACTCTATTTCAGATTTCCTTTGGGAACCAAAAAAGGGCAAATAAATGTCATACCAAATGACTGACAGACTAAGTATTTACCACCTCTCTCATTAGTTTTAATGCTGGTGAGGCCTTCCAACAGTAAATAAGCCAGTTATTACTATTTTTATCCAGTTATTACTCTTAAGAACCTATTTCATTGGCCAATACAAACCATCCTTTACTTGGATCCCTTACAAAAGATATGAGACAACCAGCAAAAATCTACCGAACACCTACGTTTAAGACGGCATCTATGCTCATGGAGAAGAGGGTAGGGTGCAAAACCAAAGCATTATTTACTTAGTGTTTACTGCATACCGGATACTTTACAGAATAAGAAATGGAGGAATCAGAATTCAAACTTATGTTACCCTGAAAAGATGGTCCACTGCTATCACCCTTTGATGCGGAATCGTAGATTGGAGGTGATATTACCCAGAATTAACGTTTCTAGCAATTGAGTAGGTAGATATTAGTGGCTTCACAAATTTGACGGGAGTTCTAACAGAACTTTGCTCCTACTCAAAGTGTGGATCCAGACCAGCAGTGGTGTCACAAGGGGCTTGTTAGAAATGCATCATCTCAGGCCCATTCAGACCCCAAATCAGAACCTGCAATTCACTCCTGTGTTCATGTCTGAGAAGCACTGCTATAGACAGCAGGCTAAAGAGGAATGCCTGAAACAAGACCAAACTATGGGGTGGGGAGCACTCCCGTCAGTACATACATCCCTATAAAATGCTACGTGATGCATCATCACTGAAAACCAACATGGGTAGGGGGCTGATCATGGCTTATACTCTGTAAGTTCTAAGTTTATTTAACTTATTTACAATGCCCACTAAGTTCAATTTTAAAAGTTGAAAAAACTGTGGCTGAGAACTGACATGGGAGGATGAACTAGGACCTAGTGGTTCTCAACCTTCCTAATGCCACAACCCTTTAATACAGTTCCTCATGTTGTGGTGACCCCCAAATTCATTGTTACAAATTGAACACAATTAAAGCATAGTGATTAATCACAAAAACAATATGTAATTATATATGTGTTTTCCAATGGTCTTGGGCCACCCCTGTGAAAGGGTCGTTCCACCTCCAAAGGGGTCGCGGCCCACAGGTTGAGAACCGCTGAACTAGGTGATTCTATGACAGTCTGCAACTCCACGGGTCATCCTGAACTTCCCTGAACTAGCTTTTCTACACCAAAACGAGTTCAGACAATGAAGCACTTTTAGAGCATCTCAAAGCTAAATGACCAAAGACACAGCACAAAATACATGTAAAAACAACATCGATGTATGTGCCCCCCTCAAATTTTGACATTATGATCTTTATCATTTCTGACCCATTTCTCCCGTAAGGTAAGCTTACACGGGGAGAAAACATGCTGGGGGTGGGGGGTGGAGTGGGAATCCAGAGCCTAACACCGAAACAGCTAAGTCATTCACAATAGCAGCCTCCTGCCAAGTGTTCGCTTATAAAACAGATCTTATATCATCTCGAGTGCACGCCGCACATTCGCTCCCGACGAACTGGCAGGGAGCGCACACACCTCAAGGCCGGGCAGTTGTTGGCCAGGATGACCAGCTTCGCTTTGCCTTGTCGGATCATCTTCAGCGTCTGCTTGTAGCCCAGCACGTACTTCCCGCTTTTCATCACCAGCTGGAGCCTGGAGTTGATCGACTCCAACGACTTTTTCTACAAAGCAAACATTTACCGTGCATCTGAAAGGCCTGGTGCGGAACCACCGCAAAGCTGGACCCAGCTTTCTGCAAGCCGAGACCATGAATAAAATAAACCCTCCGAAGGCCAGGTCCCAAGTCCTTGACAGGCCCAATCGGGTTTCTTTCGGGACCCCCCCGAATCCATCGGGCGTGCTGTCTCCCCAGGGTGCTCCCATGCCCGCCCCGCCGCCGAGACAGCTCCCCACGTGAACCGGCTTCCGGCCCGGCCCGCTCCACTCACCGTCTTCTTTGCGGCCACCATCTTCCTGCCTCAAGTGCGGGACGGCCCCCAACCTACAACACACGGAGCACAGGGAAGGGAGCTCAGGAACCCGAGGTCCAATGGCAACCCGCGGGGCCCCCCGCGAGGCGAAAGCGCCAGCCGCTGGAGCCCACTCACCAGATGCAGCCGCCAAGATGGCCGGGGAGCGAGAAAGGAAGTAGTTCCCACAATGCAAAGCTCTTCACCACCCAGCCGGGAGCCCCGACCGGAAGCGGAAGCAGATCGCAAGCGGAAAAGGCGGGGCAAGAAGGGATGGACCGCTCCGGTTGCTATAGGTACGGCTGGGGAGGGCGGCCGGGGTGCTGTGAGCTGAAACCAGCCGAGTGCTTGAGGCCGGCCCTGCTCGTGGCTCTGGCTTCCAGCTGCGGCCTGAGGAGCCGCGGTCGGCGGAGCCGGTTGGGAACCGGAGAACCGGCTGAAGGTGAGGCGGGAGGAGCGGCGAGCAGAGGCGGCGCGGCTGCACCACGGCCTCCGCGCTGCTGCTCTTCTCTGCCCGAAGCCGAGGCTCTCGGAGAGCGGGAGGAGGGCGGCGCGGGTCTGCCCTCGCCGTCCCTGTCGGCATTTCCGGGGCCAACGCAGCTGCCTGCCCGCCCCTGCCCTCGCCCTGGTTGCTGGTTCCTCCAAGAACCGTAGCGCCCTGCCCTGGCTTCCTCAAACCCACCTCTTTCTTGGCCGTGTTGGTGTCAAACTTGTAAGCCGAATTTGCACAGAGGGAGGAATAATAATTTACTTATTTTTAAGAATAAGTTTTTACTGATTTTAGAGATAGAGAGGAAGGGAGAAGGAAACATCCATTGACCGGAGATCGAATCCACAACTGGGCATGTACCCTGAGCGGGAATCGAACCCGCCACCTCCTGGTGTACGGGAGGACGCTCCAACCAATTGAGCAATACTGGCCAGGGCTCAAATAGACTTAAAAGAATCCTCTACATGTTTGGATGTATTATTATTTTTTTAAATGTATTTTTATTGATTTCAGAGAGGGAAGAAGAGGGAGAGAGGTAGAAACATCAATGAAGAGAGAATCATTGATCGGCTGCCTCCTGCGCGCCCCCTCCTTGAGGATCAAGCCTGCAACCCCGGCATGTGCCCTTGAATGGAATTGAACCCGGGACTCTTCAGTCCGCAGACCGATGCTCCATCCACTGAGCCAAACCTGCTAGGGCTGGATGTATTATTTTATTTAACATCAATGTACACCCTGATCCCGAAACCACTCTGGTGTACAGGATGATGCCAACCAACTGAGCCACGCCAGCCATTCTTAACCAATATATACATATTTGTATATGCATGGAAAGTTCAAGTTTGGGAAGCTAATTAGCAAACTTTTCTCTGGATGAAAGATGAGAAAAGTAGATCGTCAGGAGGGAATATTTACTCTTTATGTATTTCAGTAGTGCTTAAATTGTTTCACATTAAATTATTTCACAGCATGCATTAGTTATGTGAAAAGCTCCTTTTTAATAATGTGGTTATTTTAATTAGTTCTTGTGAAACATCAATTATGTCTTCAAGCAGTATGGCTCTCAGATCACCTGATTCAGAATCACCTTGAATTCTGACTCCTGGGCCCCACCCAGGTCTGTAGAAGAAATCTCTGGATGTGGGGCCTTGGTATCTGAGTTTAATAAGCAGCCTTGAAGGTGCCTATCAATACTAAAATTTGAGAAAGATAACTAAAGAATGAGATAGCCAAATTAGTGTTGAGGCATGCCTGCTTAGAGATATAAACAAAAACGATGCCTTACACTTTTATATGGAGCTCTATATTTTCAAAGCTTTTTGATACTTTCCAAGGTAATCAGAATATTACCCCCATTTTAGAGAGTGAATGATTAAAACACTAGCGATGACTTTCCTGATGTGATTTTCATTATGATACCAAGTTTCTGGTCCTTAGTGTATGTTTTTACTATACATTAAAGAAAGGGTTAGTTACTTTCTCTCGGCGATCTTAGGGTGTTTTGTACTAGAAATCAGAGAAGCTCAGCACACAGTGTGTATGAATTATGACCACAAAATGCCTGAGAATCCTTCCTAGGGAATCTTAACTGATTCTGCTGACTCTCTTTGGGACAGACTTAGGATCTTTGTTTTTCTATTTAATACCTGCATGACTTTGGGCAAATCTCAGTTTCTTCAGTAAAACTAGAATAATACTGTCTACCTCATAGTATTGTAAGGATCAAAATAAATGTAACAGTGTATAAAGTACCTAGCACAGGGTCCTGTACAGAATAAGTGTATAGTGTATGTTAGTTCCCTTCCTCAATCTCACTGCTACCTCCCCAACCTCTCCATCACAGCCACCTGCCCACAGCTGAAGTCATCCACATCACAAAACCTATGCACTAGAGCAGTGGTTCTCAACCTTGGCTGCACATTAGAATCACCTGGGAATCTTTTTAAAATCCTGATTTGTGGCCCCACCCCATAACAAAGAAACAGAATTTCCGGAGGATGAGGCCCAGAAATCAGGATTTTAAAAAGACTCCCAGGTGATTCTAATGTGCAGCCAAGGTTGAGAACCACTGCACTAGAGGAAGAAACACTTGCCATGCAAGAATTGACAGTCAAATCCTTTGGCTCATGAAGATTTTGTAAATATTTTCACACATATTTATTAGAGCAGGAGTTGGCAGATTTTTTCTGTAAAGACCAAACGGTAAGAATTTTATGCCTTTTAAGCCATATGGTCTCTGTGCAACTACTGGATTGTAGTGTAGCACAAAAGCAGCCACAGACGATATGTAAATGAGCGAGTGTGGCTGTGTTCCAATAAGACCTTATTTACAAAATCAGGCAGCTGTCCGGACTTGGTCATATGGGTGAGCCCCAATCCAATATGACTGGTGTCCTTTTGAGATGAGAGTAGGACACAGACATGCATGGCAGGAAGACCACGTGAAGACACATGGAGACTGCCATCGACCAGCCAAGGAGAGAGGCCTCTGAGTGAAACTAACCCCACTGACATCTTGATTTTAGACTTCTAGTCTCAGAATTGTGAGAAAATAAGTTTCTGTTAAGTCAGCCAATTTCTGGTACCTTGTTATATAGCAGCCTTAACAAACTAACACAGATGATAACATAACCATTGAATAATGTAAAAATTCATGGGTATTCACTGATACAAGTGAATTTTAAAGGGAGGAAAAGGGAAAGTGCTCCCTTAATATAGAATTCAGAAGGAATAGTGTAATTAAAATGATCACATTTCATAACTATCATAAACATAATTGATCCAAATAAGATTAATATACTAGAGGCCCGGTGCATGAAATTCGTGCATGGAGGGGGTCCCCTCAGCCTAGCCTGCACCCTCTTCAATCCAGAATCCCTCTCACAATCCAGGACCGCTGGCTCCTAACTGCTCACCTGCCTGCCTGCCTGATTCCCCTAACTGCCCCCCCTGCCAGCCTGATCACCCCTAACCACCTCTGCCTGCTGGCCTGATCGCCCCTAACTGCCCCCCCTGCCGGCCTGGTGCCTCCCACTGCCCCCCAACCCCCGCTGGCCTGGTTGCCCCTAACTGCCCCCCCTGCTGGCCTGGTTGCCCCCCGCCTGCCTGGTCACCCCATACAGCCTGCTGTTTGGTCGTCCATCCAGTTGTTTTGGTTGTGACAGCCCCTGGCTTTTTATATATTAGGATGCTGGAAGTGGGAGAGTTTGATGAGAAATAGGATGTTTACTTAAAGTGTCCCCCATAAATTACAGATTAAAAAAGTAACTTTTTAATAAAGAAACTTGGCAGACATTGTCTTAATTACAAGCCTCTTCATAGGAATACACAAACAACATAATGTGAGTGTTCCAGCCCCAAGTGCATCACCTGAAAGTAATCAGGAGGAAACAGACAAACCCAAACTGAGAAAGGTTCTGCGAAATAAATGGCCTGTTCCCTTAAAAAAATGTCAAGGCATTGAAAGACAGGCTGGGGGAATGACTTAAGATGAAAGCAAACTAAAGAGAGGTGCAACAGGCCCTAGCTGGTTTGGCTCAGTGGATAGAGCGTCGGCCTGGGGACTGAAAGGTCCCAGGTTCGATTGGGGCCACATGCCCGGGTTGCGGGATCCAACCTCAGTAGGGGGTGTGCAGGAGGCAGACTCATTGATGTTTCTATCTCTCCCTCTCTGAAATCAATAAATAAAAAAATTTAATAAAAAAGAGAGAGAAAGGTACAACAAGTAAATGCAACATGTGGTTCTGGGTTGGACAACTGACCCAAGACCCAAGCTGAATACGAGGGTGGATTAAGTAGAACTATATCCGCGTTAAACTTCCTTGTGGTAACTGTACTGAAGTTAGGTAAGATTAAAACTGCATCGCAAATGTAGTCCACCAATCAATAGCCACTGCTCACAATCGTCTCCTCCTCTCCCCAGCTGCTTAGAGATGATTCAGAGAATCCCTCCACCCTCTTCCCAACATCATTTCCATTCCTGCTTTCCGGCCTTTCCTACCCGTTCACCTTCTCCTCCCCCGGCTCCTGGCCCCTGTCCTGTTCCTCTGGCTGCGCTGCGCTCCTGGCTCCTAGCTCTCGGTTCCCTTTCCCCTCCAGGTGCGCCCCGCCGCCCCGCGCTCCGCTGTGCGCTTGCGCTCTGCAGCCGCGGGAGCCGGGCCCCGGAGTTGCAGGAACTTCTGCGCCGCGGAGCCGTCGCGCGGGACCCAGGCTCCCGGGCGGATACCGCGTGGGGCTGGGAGCGGCGGCTGCACTCGCCCTCCGGGCCGGGCTCCTGCCCGCGGCGGCGGCGCCACGATGGGCTGCTCCAGCAGCGCCCTCGGCAAGGCCGGCGACAGCCGCAGACTCCCCCAGGGGGAAAAGGGGAATTCGGGTCGGCTCGCTCCCCCGGGGTCCGAAAGTGCGACTGGTGCCCACCCGCCCGGCAGGGGGCGGGCTCCTCCCCGAGGATGGGAGTGGAACCCGAGCGCCGCTGCTGACCCGGGGGGCGGCGGTCCCCGTGCGCCCCGTGCGCCCCGTGCGCCCCGACGCGCGAGGCCAGGGTATGGCACTGGGGTTACTCCGTCTCCGGTGTGCTCGCGGGCATTATATCCTTAAATCTCTTAAACAGATGAGTAATTTTCTGACCTTAACAATAGATGCTATTTAATGTACCAAAAGAACGAAACTTCAGATTATAGAACAGTGTGAATCCCCTGGGAACCATTTCGTTGTGATCGTAAGGGGGGGGGGGGGGAGGAGGGATGTATACCCGTTTTCTATCCAGACCTTCTATCTCCGCCTTGAAGGGTCAGTGTTTCAGCATTGGCCGAAGGCAAAGTGCAGAAAGTACAGACGGACAGTCGCTGCTTCACAGAGGTCCCTGAACTTTTGAAGAGGTCAGATGCACTTTCCCCTTTCCTTGACAAATGCGCAAGGGATGAAAAGTGGCCATCACTGAGTCTTATAAAGAAATTCAAGAAGTATATTTTGAGCTTCAGGTATACAGTATAATAGGTGCTTGGCTAGATGCTGGCGACCCAAGTGCCTCCCCCCCCCCCCCCCCCATCACCACAGAGACTCTGCTTTTGGAGTTTGGAGGTGGAAGAGAGAGACAATAAACAAGTTAAACAAATGACTAAGATAGTTTCTGACAGTGATAAGGGCTGTGAAAAGAATAAAAGCAGATTAATGGAGTAGAGAATGACTGGGTTTTACAGCTGACTCACTTCTTAGGTTTTGAATGGCTAACATTTTGGACAAACCTCTGAAGGTTAGTAAGCAAATTCCTTCAAGCTAGTTTACAGTCTTCTTCAAGACTAACTTTAGGGAAATTTTATACTCTGATTAATTCCTTTTCACAGGTCTTCTTTTAGCACCTTATGTTATTCCTAAAACAGAAATATCTTCCTCTCTGATTTTGTAGTACGGTTTCCATGAATGCTGCTTCAGAGCTCAGACGCTGAGTCCTGGTCAGAAATGTTTTATTGGGGTCATTTTCATGGTCTACGATCGTTTATTTCTAGCTTCAGTAGGTAACAGATAGCAATAAAGAATTTAAAAATAGGCAAAAAACTAAAGCCTATTAAAAGTGATTCCAAACCCCTCATGACTGACAACAATGTGAAAAGATGGAAACCCATTCCTGATGTACCAACCTTTTCCCCAAAGAGTCGAAAGCCGCAGTACCCCAAATATGCTCTCAAAAGGCCAGTGCAAGGAACAATTTCTTTGATGTTTCATGCTTTATCTTGTGAAATCAGGTTGCTTTTGCATTCTGTTCCAAGGGAAAAGCTTGAGGAAGATCCAGCATATTATTTTGGCTCCTCCTATCCCCTGCCATGTCGCAGGTAACCTAGGAGTAGCATCCTGGTTTCAACAGCAGAGCATGAAATCATCATCAATTTTTAAATTGATAAAAACATGAATTGTAGGGGATGTCGCCCTTGGGGAGGGGCAAAAGTATCTAATAGATGGAATGGAATTTTTAATCCTCATAAAATAGTGAGTGACCTTTGAAAAATTATCACTAATATTAATAACCATAAACTTGAGTCACACGTGCTCTCTGTTTATTCATGCTTTCATTGCTGTTCTAAGTTTCATATATGTTGTTCTGAAAGAAATGTTAAAATACCTGACCATCAGTTTCAATGCATAGAAATTTAATTAATACGTTGCATAATATGCTCAATGCACATATTGAGTCAATCAACAGGTGTTTTGCTTCTGAGCCTCATTCAGACAATACTCTCATGTAATTGGATACTATTGTACGTTCATCACCATTTCACCTCCATGATACTGGAAGCCAGATAAATAATTCATTCCTGCTTCTGCAGGTCAAAACTTCTTGATATAAAATCTCAAGTGTGTATGCACTTTTAGATAAAAAACAGTTCAAGTTTGCCCTAGCTGGTTTGGCTCAATGGATAGAGCGTCGGCCTGCAGACTGAAGGGTCCCAGGTTCCATTCCAGCCAAGGGCACATGACTGGGTTGCAGGCTCAATCCCCAGTAGGGGGCGTGCAGGAGGCAGCCAATCAATGATTCTCTCTCATCATTGATGTTTCTATCTCCCTCTCCCTTCCTGTCTAAAATCAATAAAATATATTTAAAAAAACCAAAAAACAAAACAGTCCAAGTTTATTACATGTACTGTACATACATTTACTTCCTGTGCCCCTCCAGTGCCTAACAATGGTTGGTTTAGAATTGGTGAATGAATTACTTTATTTAATCCTTACAACAGTGCTATGACTTTAAGTCTTACGATTTCTCCATTTTATAGAAAAGAGTAAATAATTTGCCCAAGATTATGGAGCTCCTTAAGAGTCAGAGCTGGGCTTTGAATTCAGGTACTCTGATTCCAGAACTTGACCTATTCCTCCATAAACCAGCTTGTGATAACTAAATTTAAATCTGTTTTGGCCTTATATCACTCTTGATTGCCATTAGAGGGTGGTTATCCACTATGCAAACAATAAAAGAAATATAGAGTATAATAGAGTATTTATTGTGATCTCTAAATTAGATATACTGTATATTATATAAGTATACAAATATGATATATGTAATTCATACATATATAAATACTATAACTATAATGTTATAATAAATATTTATCTCTAAATAAGAGTCAGTAAAATATGAAGTTTATATTTGCTTCCAAGTTTAACTGGAAATATTTGGAGGACATTTAGCCTTAGAGATATTTTAAACAGAGTATATAAGATATGAAGAAACTTCCAATGGCTTTCCACAGAGATACAGATAATCTTTATATCATAAGATATTCTTTTAAATTCACAATATCAACCTTCGAATCCCATGGGTTAAAGCGAAAATAGAGCAAGTAGCCTGAAGACTGGATTTACGTTGACAGTTCCATCTAACAACTTTCTGCTGCTGGCTTAAGAACTGTTTGTTATACATGATGCAGTATTATCAGCAAAAGAATCATAAATAATGGGTTGAACTAGATTACCTCTTAAGATCTCATAGCTCTTAAATCTTGTAAAACTAAAATATGAAGGTACTTATTTTCTGGGCTCCAATTTAAATCTAATAGCAGCTCTTGGTCAGGGAGCTGCTATGCTGAATAGGAAAACCCATTCACATGACGACATCAGTCTGACCCATCAATCCTCAATACCACCGAGCTCCCATCACCTCCAAGACCACTGACGAGGGAAAGAAGTAGAGAGTGGCCTATGATTGTAAGTCATTAATTAGTGCTACTCAAAGTACAGAACAGTGCCTGGTACCTGATAGTCACAGATTTTTACTGAATGCTCCCCCTCCCCAAAGGACAACTAGACAGAGTTGGAATTTCTTGTTTGTGGAAGCAAGTTATAAATATTAGGGCAGTTTCTATCCTTTTCGGTGCCATGAGTAGTTGTTGGACTCTGAACACAAAGGTTTTGCTGACTTCACAGACGTTAGTGGACCAGAAGCTTTGGCCTGGGAACCCTTGTCCCTCCTCCCAGTGCTTCCAGCCCCTGGTTTCGTGGATAACTCTTTCCCAGACTCTTTTCTAAAAATGAATGCCATCCACTGGGAAGACTTCTTCCTGAGGTTTTACAGCTTAAGCATAAAAGTAGACAAAGTAAATAGATGGTAATTATTGACAAATTCATTGCCAGGTTAATGTGTACATTTCCACTCACAGATAGTCGTTTGTTTGTTCTAGCCTCAACCCCGACTGTGTGGAGTCCCTGCTGCCAAGGCAATCGGATGAGACTTGAATTTCACACAGTTATGTCCATTGTTATTTGTATAGTGGAGATACCTTCAGTCTTCAGCCAGTGTTTTCACCCAGTGAATTTCAGTCCTAGGTAGTCAATTTTTTAAAATTGAAGAACAAACATCAGTAACACTAACTTGAATTTTTATATTATACAAATGGGATTTCTGTCTTTTTTTTTTTTAAATATATTTTATTGATTTTTTACAGAGAGGAAGGGAGAGAGATAGAGAGTTAGAAACATCGATGAGAGAGAAACATCGACCAGCTGCCTCCTGCACATCTCCTACTGGGGATGTGCCCGCAACCCAGGTACATGCCCTTGACCGGAATCGAACCTGGGACCTTTCAGTCCACAGGCCGACGCTCTATCCACTGAGCCAAACCGGTCTCGGCAAGGGATTTCTGTCTTTTAAATGTTAGAACTCTCTGGATTGAATCATTTAAAAAAATATTGGGGGGGGGGGGGGAAAGGACACTTATGTAATACCCTTTGTAATACTTTTAGTGAAAAAAAAAAAATAAATAAATAAATAATAAAACAAAAAAAAATATATTTTTTTAAATTGATTTCAGAGAGGAAGGGAGAGGGAGAAAGAGATAGAAACATCAGTGATTAGGGAGAATCATTGATCAGCTGTGTCCTGGGTGCCCCACACTGGGGATTGAGCTCGAAACCCAGGCATGTGCCCTGACTGGGAATCAAACCGTGACCTCCTGGTTCATAGGTCAGTGCTCAACCATTGAGCTACACTGGCCAGGCTGGACTGAGTCTTGTATGTCTTTGTGTTCCCTTGAGAGCCTGGCATGCAGAGAATGTTTAGTAAGTCTTTGCGGTAGGCCTGGTTGTTATGTCCAGTGAATTAAAATGGAATATAAGAACTACATATATGGCTCAAAAAAATGAAAACATTTGAAAAATGCATACAGTGCAAATCATACCTCCTACCCCAGCCCCACCATCTGCTTAGTTCTGATCTCACCTAAGAGTAAAAAAATTTTCTGTGTATTCTTCCAAAGTTTCTTTATAGATTGCAAATATTATTTCTCTCTCCCGTCTTTGTTCATGAAATATAATGTATTATAACCAATAGTCTTGACCTTGTTTTTTTTCACCTACCAATATGGAGATCTTTCTATATTGGTATATAGAGGACTTTCTCCTTTTTTATGCTTGTTTAAAGAATACAGTGTGTGATTTCCTTAACCAGTCCCCTATTTGTTCTCAGTCTTTTCCTGTTGCAAATGGCTGCTGTTGAATTCCTTTACACAGACGTCATGTTGAATGTGTGCAAGCGTGACTGTAGACAGTTTCCCAGAATGGGAGAGGGCACGTGCATTTATAATTCGATAGATAACTGCCTAAATGACTTCTCAGGGTTAGACTAGCTTACACTCTCATCAGCAGTACAATAAATCTTTTTCTAAAATGGAAGGCTTTGGTGCAGCTGCATCAGAACCTGGGAACAGAGCAGGAATCAGGAGATAAGATAGGAGCACCCACTTGTTTCCAAGATTTTTAGCCCGTGATCTCATTTAGTTCCTACAAGAGCCGTATAAATAAAGCAAACATTAGATAACCAAACACCGCTGAAAACCGCAGCTCAGTGAGGGTGCGTAACTTGGCCAAGGTCTCAAGGCTAGTAAGTGATGGGGTTGGGGCTTAGGATGTGAGGCTCTGAACCCCTGCTCTTCTCACAAACTCCAGTCCCCTCTGGGGTCTAGGTTCGGTTCTGCCAGAGCTCGTCATGTCACCTTACACCTAGGAGGAATGCAATCCATTTCTGTAGTGTGTGTGGATGGGTGAATGAATGAGTAAACAGATGGGAATTTAGCGGGGTGGGAGTACTACTTAGAAAAGCAGAGAGAGAGTAGGAATCGGGACCCACAGAATACAGAAACTGGAAAGTAATTTTAGCCAAAATGGGCTCGGGAAGAGAGTGTTGGGTTGTTAAGAGGGTCTTCTAGTCAGACAGGAAAAGGTCAACACAGCAAAACAAAGTTTTATTGTGTTCTGCTAAATCATGCTCCTGTGAGGTTGCCACATGTCCCAGCTCCTGTGTACAGTTTCACTTATGTTAATGTTTTACAACATCAAGTTTTAAAATAAAAACCTAATACTTGTGGGGGGTTACTGAAAGGCTCACCAAAACTGATAAAAGCATCGAACTTGGCTAGGCTTCAAATCCTGGTGTGTACAAGTGTAGGCAGTACTGGGTAACGATTGGTTTTTTAAAATCCAAATACCAGACTAAAGCTCGGCAAGTGAGTGTTAATGTCTGGAAAATACCCTAATGACCTCAAAGCTTCTCTACTGTCAGGGCTGTTACTATTGTTCATTCCTTGAACCCCTCCTTGGGAACTGCCAAGGGGGTCAGAGCTTTGCCCTTTAAGGATAAAGACTGAAAAAACCCCACAAAACACATTGTTTTTAACAGTTAAAATTCCACGGGAATTATGTGTGCTTATCAAGCGTTCTGAGGTATCTTTCCAACTATGTGTTCTTGTTTCTCTGTAGTTAAATTTAAAAATTAGGTTTACCTTCAAACTTTATTGCATTTTCTTTGTGATGGTCAAAACTAATTTTAAATAAGCAAATCCAAGTATTTCTACTCTAAAAGAAAAGTGGTTTGTCTGATTTTTATTTGCCCTTTATAGGAATAAATTTTTTTTTGATGGTTTTATACTTCCCTACATGGGATATTGCTTAGGTTCACCTCTCTTCAAAATGAGTGCCTTGTTAACATCTGTCGGCTAACAGAATTCGCCTTTGGGGATTAGCGTGTGTGCCATTGCACACAAGGACAGCATTTCTACATACACTGATGAGGAAAGGGGGCAGAAACATGTAGAGTAGCGCCACAGTTAGCTCCACAAATGTTTGTTGGATGGATGGATAAAGAAATGAATGGGACTGAGGAGAAAGCAAAGTAAAAATAGGAGTGGGAAGATGACTAGGCTCTGCCCTTGAGCTGACTCAGGCTGCATCCCTGGTTCCCGAAGCTCAAAACCTACGAGAACCTAGAGTTGGTGGCAACAAGGGAAAAATACCAAGATCCCCCTTTCTCGCTGATTCTCTAGGACACCCTGCAGACAGGCCAGTGAGGTCTTTGGGATGTCTGATCTGTCACCCAGGGGGTAGGAAATACTGCTCAAGGTTTCCTCCTTGCTGGGTAGAAACTTGTCATTTCTGATTAGGGTAACTTGTTCTAATAAACACTTTGTATGCATTATTTAATTTGATTAGCCCAATGGTGAGTGCTGATTTTTTAACTTGTATATCAATTATTTTATTTTTAGCATATGCTCCTCATAATCATCTTTTTCATGGTACAGTCATATTTCATCCAGTAGAATATTTATCTTTTCCCACAATTTTTAGATTTTAAGTTGTTCTCCAGCTTTTGCTATTATAAAGAATACTGATATACTTTTCCCCAAAGCATTTCCCTGACGTTTATGCTTTTAGGATAAATTTCCAGAGGCAGGATCACTGGGTCAGAGAGTATAAACATGTATTGTCACAATGACTTTTCATTCATTGTTTAATGTGAGGTGATGGTTCAGGGAACGCTGAGACAGGTGGGAGAGACAGGGTCACTGCCCTTTTACAGACGAGATCATTGGGAGCTACGTTCCCCAGGTCATACAGTTAGAGGAAGAGCCATCATTAAAATGCATGCTTCTCAGATCTCTCCTAATTTGTCTTCCCATTGCGCCCCCCAAATGAAATGAACTGAACATGCCACTTTCCTTCCCAGACATCTTAGTCTTGACCTAATGGGGCTTCTCTGTCATGAGGCCTCCTCCTTTCACTCAAGGTCCTTCTACTTTAGGACGAAAGTGAGACATTTCAAGCAGCCCAAGGACCACACATGGTGAAATCTTCAGCTACATCTAAGGAGGAAGCAGGGTGGAACAGGGACAAGAACATGAGAAAACAAAATGTACTAAATTAGAATATGGGACAGGAACCATGAGAAAGTGCATAAGGAGCACACAGGAAAAACACACTGTGATTTTGAAGGACCTGAATGCTCAGGATGAGGTGTGTGAGCTGAAGACAGCAAAGAGACTTGAATTAGGGAGCGTTAGGGTCATGGTATGGCCTTTCTGTACTCAATTGCACCCAGGACTGTCTTGAACTGTCAAATCTACTTCTTGATAGCAATATACTTTCTCAAGATAGAAACTAAACAAGAATGTGTATTTTCTTTTTCTTTTTCAAATGAACGATCAAAAAGTAACTTCAACTATGTATTTTTCAACCACAGAAGAAAGTGAGTCCTGCTCTGTCCAACCCAAACCCCGTACATTGGGAGGAGAATCTACTATTTATGACAAGGCACAGAAGGAAAACCTTCCTCCATTAGAGAAGCTCAAGATTTCAGCAGCGTCTACAGCTAATGGTGTTAAATCCCTTCATGATCAGCCC